AACATCATCGCTCCCGACTGTCACATTCCATGCGACACATGCAATAAATAATTTCAATTTAGAGTGTAGGATTTAATTTTGATGAATCAATTTAGATTTTGAATTCAAACCCTAAAATTTAATTCTTTCTCATTCCGACTTTACGTAATATTAAATAGAATACCTTGATTTAAAATAGAAACTTGAGAAAAAACCTGAGTCAAATGAAGTATTTATTTCAAATAAATATTATATAGAATAATTTATAATTTAAGTAATATTAAATAGAATACCTTAATTTAAAATAGAAACTTGAGAAAAAACTAGAGTCAAATAAAGTACTTATTTCAAATAAATATTAAATAGAATAACCTATAATTCAAATAGTATTAAATAGAATACCTTGATTTAAAATAGAAAAAACTTGAGTCAGATAAAGTACTTATTTCAAATAAATATTATATAGAATAACTTATAATTCAAGTAATATTAAATAGAATACCTTAATTTAAAATAGAAACTTGAGAAAAAACTTGAGTCAGATAAAGTACTTATTTCAAATAAATATTAAATAGAATACCTTGATTTAAAATAGAAACTTGAGAAAAAACCTGAGTCAAATGAAGTATTTATTTCAAATAAATATTATATAGAATAACTTATAATTTAAGTAATATTAAATAGAATATCTTCATTTAAAATAGAAACTTGAGAAAAAACTTGAGTCAAATAAAGTACTTATTTCAAATAAATATTATTATTAAACTTTTAAGTGTTTCATAAATATATTGTAAATATTTAATTAAAATGTTTTGGTGTAATTCGGTAAAAATCCTGCTAAAAGTACCTCATTCTCGTATTTATTGTAAAGCTCGACACAAGGGATCGGTGAACCTTCGCGTCGAGAGCTTCCGCAGCCAAAGGTTCGTTCTTTGTAACCCTTAACCTTTGCGAGAAGAATTTTCCATTCACCCAACCAAGTTAGGTCCGCAAAGAAGTCACATTCGTTGCTGGTCCATTCATTTTTCCTGCATCACACGGAAAGAAATATCAAATGTTGAGAGGATTATTATTGAAACTAAAAAGATATTTAAGTGTTATAATAAACTTAAGTACTATACGTAAATTAAGAAGATCTCAGGTGGGACATTATGTACAAGTTATACGTACTATTAAAATTTAGAATTCCATTCGATTATCATATAGCGGAAGATCAGATTACAATTGGTTATAATTCTACGTAATTTCGAAATCAAGTTGCAAACACAATGGAACATTCATATTGCTTAATTTTCCAACTAAACATTGGCAATTGCGACGTCTAGGAATTGCGATGTTATGCAGAGCGCAAGCAAATAAATAAGGAAATAAGACGAATTGGCAGCAGAGAAAGACTTCTATATGAGCCCAGATATGCTGTTTTCAATTTCAAACGTTTAATGTTTTAAAACAAAAAAAAAAAAA